GAACATACTATCAGGAGGGACCAGTCATTGGAGAAGGATATCATGTTTGGTCAAGCGGAGAGTCAGATAAAAAGAGGAAGACCGACAACAGGATGGACTGGCACAGTGGTGGCAGCAATGGGATCAAGCATAACCACAAGAATGAGGTTAACCCAGGATCAATCAGTGTTTCATTCTGTTGTGCATAGAGTCGCTATGAGTCAGTACCGACTTGATAGCGCCTAACAACAACAACAATCAGACACGACACTAATATCTAAAATTTATACAAAATTGTTAACACCTCTACAAGAAAAAGGCAAACCCAATTAAAAACAAGGACACAGGACATGAACAGACACTTCACCAAGGAAGACATTCAGGTAGCGAACAAAGATATGAAAAAATGTTCATAATCATTAGCCATCTGTTGTTGCTGTTGACAAGTACCATCAAGTTGGTTCCAACTCATAACAACTCTATGCACAACAGAACGAAACACTGATTGGTCCTGGGCCAACCTCACGACTGTGGTTGGTGACCTTGTATAGGGTTTCCAAGGAGCGGCTGAAGAATTTGAACCATCAATCTTAATCTTGCAGCTCAAATTGACCTTGTGGTGGAATGCCATTAGAGAGATGCAAATTAAAACAACAATGAGATATCATCTCAAACCAGCAGTAACAGCAAAGTTAAAAAAACAACAACCAGAAAACAACAAAAGCTGGCAAGAGTATGGAGAGACTGGGATTCTCCTACATTACTGGCAGGACTGTAAAATTATTGAACTACTCTGTTCAATCATTTCAAGAGGCAGCATATGATCAAGAGCCAATGATACTGAAGGAGGAAGTCCAAGGTGCATTGAAGGAATTGGCAAAGAACAAGGCGGCAGGAATTGATGGAATAAAAATTGAAATATTTCAAGAAAGTGAGGCAGCACAGGAGATGCTAACTCATCTCTGCCAAGAAATTTGGAGGACGAATATCTGGCCGACTACTTGGAAGATACCCATATTTGTGCCCATTCCAAAGAGAA